CGATGCCTCTTGTTGTCTTCAATTATATCACTGATCTCACTTATACAGGAGCACTTACTAACATCCTTCTAACCAGCCAACTATACACCTCGATAAAGGGCCCTAGCAACGGTATAATTAGAGCCGGCTGCTCCGTCAAATATACTGACTTATCCTCAGGGGTATATCTAAATATACTAAAAGACATGGCGAGCCTCCTTGTATCTTGCCAACCTGGCTAGACATCATCTATGGTTGCATTATAAAGTCAGGTAGCCTCAAAGTCGTTCATAAGAGAACAACAGCCCACCTTGCTATACTCGTGAAGGAGTGATTACCTAGTCACCACCAATACTTCTTACTCATGGCCTTGTGAAGTCTCACTAATCTCCTGGACTTTCGATTGTTGAACAGTTTTTGTTAATGCTACAGTGAAAGCCATCGCCTATACAACATACATGCTAGAGACTGGACGCTGCGACTAACAGCACCCAAGGTGAAAGCAATCCAATGAATGCCTTCTTTGAAAACCCATTTTGACTCCCGTCAACACCGTGATGCCGTAGTTGACAAAACAATGAAAAAGAAAAACCCTGTCTCGCAACAGCCCAATGTCTTTTTTGGTTGTCAGAAAATCATGTCCCTTGAACCCGCCCGAAAACGCCGTCTAGGTTGTTGCCCTTTTTGTTACGAGGTTGCATCCCTCGTCATTCCCCCCATGCTCTTAATATGTTTCGGGGGGTCATTGACCTTTTTTGTGTTTTTTTCGTCGCCATGCGCGGCTGTTGGCATTTAATCTCTTACGTCCGATGAGACCGAAGCCGTTTTTATGTCCGAGTTCGGTGGCACAGCAGCGCCAGGCACCGATTGATCGTCCGCGTCAGCAGTAAGCCGCCCGCCCCGACCATAAAATCCCCGAGTTCGCATCCTTCTCCGGGACTTGCGGACTTTTGGGGTCTTTGGTAAGAGGATGCTAGACTTATAAAATGGCGGGGGTCTGCCCGCCCACCAGCACCTTACCACGTCTCGGCAATGTACTGGCCGGCCTCCTTCTTGAGCTCCCAGTACTTCTTGGCCTCCTCACGCTCGAGGTTGCCCTTTTGCATGGCCACGTCGACGAGAGCCTCTTCAACACCCTCGCCCATGCCCTTGGTGCTTCCGCACACAAAGACGCGACCGTCGACGGCGTTCGCAATGTACCATACCAGGTCGGCCTGGTTGCGCACCTCCTCTTGGACGTAACGACTCTCGCCGCGACGGCTCTGGACAACACGCTTGACCTCGTCCTCGTGAACGCCCCACTCGCCACTGTAGATCTCGTCGACGAGCGAGTCGCGAATGCCCTGGAGAACCCAGACCTTGTTTGCGCAGTTGGCCGTCTTCAAGCGACGCTGGACGAAGCCTCTGAACGGAGCGATGCCAACGCCAGCACCAATGAGGAGCATGGGGCCGTCGGAGACGAATTGCTTGGCGAGAGGGTTGGCCATAAGGCCCTTGAACATGGGGATGTGGATCTCTGGGGTTTCTCCGTTACGCTTCGCCTCCAACCACTTCTGGGCCTGGCGCTCGAAGAAACCGGAGCCGATACCGGTACGGAGACCGCGACGCCAGTCAGCAGTCTCATGAACCGTGACGGCAATCTCGATCAGCCGGTGCACCTTGCCATCGCGCGTCTTGTAGGCGTCGTGCGGGTCGTTGGACAGAGAGTAGAAGCGCGGCATCAACGTCTGCAAGGAAGACAGCAGGAGGTCCATGGGCGGGTGGGAGCTCGGGAACGCGTGCAAGAGCTGGGAGAGGGAAACGTGGGGTCCGGTGCGGAAGTCGCAGAAGACGCCCTGGCCTTCGGCGGCACAAAGGTACGTCAACAACTTCTTCTCATTAGGGTCCTCGGCGTACTCGGCAAGAATGCGCAGAAGCTGCTTGGTCGGGGGGTAAGACTGGATATCGGAGCACCAGGTAAGCAAGTCCCGGCGCGTGGTGACCATCTCGCGGGCCTGGTCGTCGCCCCACACGGTAGGCCAGCGGCCCTTGGTGGTCTTCATCAGTACCGGCTTGTCCCGAAGGAACCGAGGCACCATGAGGGCGTCGAAAACATCGTCGACACAATCCTTATCGTTGGGTGCCATAACACCAATGGCACCGCCGACCCTGAAGTCCATGTCCTCCTCGCCCGGGTAACTTGTGATATCGAGGTCGAAGTGGTAGGTGCGCTTCTCGGCGCCGGGCTTAGTCAACTCACGGGTCGAGTCGATGCGTGCGGCGTAGACGTGGTAAGGCGGGTGAGGCTGAACGTATCTGGGAGGCTCTCGGGCGGTATCGATGTTATCGATTGTGAAGTCCTTGAGCTGGTTCTGGACGGTGGCGAGTGCGTCTGCCGTCTTGTCCTCGCGCGCATCAGGACCCAGAGAGATTGCTGAGTCTGTCGGAGACGAGGCGACGGCTGGGGTCGCAGTGGAACGAGGTACGGGCTCGAAGAAGACGGTTTGCTCGGGCAGGTCGGCGATGTTGGTCAACTTTGTGGGAATGTCGCCAATCTTGAGGGCGAGTGACTTGTACGCGTGGTTATCTGGAAAGGGGATGCTCTCGTACTCGAGGCCCTCCTTCTTGGCGCCCAACTTCATGCAGCAGCCGCCACCGCAGCATCTCTGGATCAATTGAGCTGTCGATTCGCCCGTGATACGCTGGATGTCGGCAGGGCTCTGGGCAATGAGGCGGGTAGAAGCGCGCCGCCTCCTAGGGGCTTGGATTTCCTCATCTTGATCCTCTGACTCTTCCGAGTAGGTGAGGGAAGGTGCGACAGAAGAAACGCTGGGCTCCTCGGGAATGCAGTTGCTGGTAGCCCCGATGAGTTGGGAAGCCATGGCCGTGGTCGCCATCGTGCTGTGCATGGCGATGTTTCTGCGTATGTCGTCGAGGATGTTGTTTAGGTGGCGGAAATACGGATACCGATGACCTAGACGACTTTGGTGGGTGACCGTGGGCCAAAAGACTTTGGCGTAGAGGACGGCGTAAAGTATACGTGAGTGAAAGGATGGAGGGGCGGATAGTCAGTAGGTCCTCAGCATGCTGTGGTGAGAGCGGGACAGAAGAGGTCTTGTAGAAATTGGTGAGTGGCTGTGGGTTGTCAGATGGATGAAACCAGGTTGGGGAATTCTTGATCAGATAAGTTTGATCAGATAAGCCGAGGTGTGTGTGGTGTAAGGTAGGGAAAAGAGAAAAGGAGCGAGAAAGTATCAGGCGGAAGGATGAGGAATGTTAAGTTTTTGGGACGTGGAGAGGTCGATGAGGTAAACCGTAAAAATGGTGGGAAAACCTGGTCCAGGCCCCGGGAAAAGAAAAGGCGTACAAAGTAGTAGGGGCGTAGGTATCCGTACTTGGTAAGGAATAGGTGAGGTTTGTCGATCTCTAGACCGAGGGAGTACGGATACTGGAGCAAGGAATGTACTCTTTTTTTCTGCACGTTTTTAAATTTCGACTGGAACCGGCCGGAAAAGACAGGCACAAGGGCTCGATGATATCCAGGCTGGCCAGTAGTGAAAGAGTACTCCGTCTACTGCGTACTAAAGTGCGTAACAAATGCAAGGTAAAAAGCGACCAGGTGCAATCGAGTAACAGTGAGGAAAACGAAGAAGAGTGCAAAGTCTCTGTTTTTGGGTTGCGACAGGGGACCCTGGAATGCCCCTGTTGGGCCTAGCCGCCACAGCGGTGGCACCGTGGTAGTGGCCGCAGCCGGACAGTGAGTGGGTCTCTATTATCGCACTGTCCACGTGCCGGAGATGTTGGCACTGTCCACGGTACGTATCGCTTTCGGGCTTGGCTTGGCCCCCAAGCGGCGGCGACGACGGGCTGCGCATCATGATTTGATTGCTGATTGATGACCTGAGCATGCAGAGAGCATTTGTTCATCTTGGGTAATGATGAATGGCCACTGGGTAATAATGTGCGACACTGACAGCTGCTGATGACTGTAACACCAGCCCCGCCGTTGACTAAGATTCAGCCTTGATCCGGGCACATTTTGGTTGGCACGGTTGGATAAACAGAATATTACATACAATTTACGGGTACTGTTGCAATGGACTGTCACGACATGCCGTTACCGAGCAAAAGAAAGAAATATGTAAGAATGCGTCACGTCAATTCCAGCACATCCGAGCTCGCACTCGCGCTCGGGTGCTTTCCACATTTCCATTTGCTTTTCAGGCTGCTTTCGCCCAAGATGCCCTGCCTTATCAATCAGATTACGGAGTAGTAGCATCAGAAATGCAAGCACTTGCAGAAAAACCTAAGGAAGTCACGGTCCACGGGCACCAAACACGAGACCGCGCGCTGGGTCCTTTCTTGTGTTCCTAACAACCCTCCACTTTTGCTCTTGGCCGATGTCGCCCGCCCCGATGACGAGGAGACATGTGTACGCAGTATTGAGATAGGTACCTTCTGGCATCTGCATTGTCACCATCCCGTTCATTCAATTTCCTCGGTGCTTTCTTTTCCGAATCGACACCTCGGGCTCAGCCTCTCCTGCAGCGATTGAACCTCGGGACGCGTCGACATCAACGTCAATGCCATGCCCGGCAAGGTAGGTAAGGTAGGTAGGTAATTGATTGTCACAGCCCGAGGTGCAGCGGAAGGCATTGCATCTCCTATCTTTTCTCCTTCCACATTCCGATCCGCTAACGTGGAAGGTACGAATTTAGTCACTCGCTCCTTCTTGCCTTGCTTCCACACCACTCTAGGTAGGTACTACCCTACTCTACACGATTCACCCCACTCCACCCGCCCCTACCCGATTCATCCTCTTTTCCCGGCTTTTCTTGCCCGGCTTTTCTCAGTCTTCTTCCGCCTGGCTTTTTCTGTGTCTTGTCACTTCCCGTCGCTCTTGGCAGAGGTGATGGGAACCGAGCCGGTTGCCGGAAACCAAAGGTAAAATGAGGTAAGCTGATCCGCTCACCTACTCTTGTTGGGCTTTCTAACCACATCATACATGTGCCACAGTAGAATATCCGTACCAAGTACACTACCGTGCGCAGCAGACTGCTCGCTTGCGCTTCGATCCTCACAGTGCCAGGGTCGCCGCCCATTTCTGCTGCACTGCGGTGGACTCTTGTCCCGCACAACTGGAAAACCTGACGATTCACCGTTCCCCGTACTTGCACATCCAACGACATCGTACATTGCTGCATCGCATATCGCCGCCACAGAACAAGAGTGTGGGGTTTCCTCGCCCGCTTGCGCACTCCAAGATCCATCTTGCTGGTCCATCATGCTGGGCCCAACTTGCTCCGGACTCGCTGGCCATTGAAAGAGCCCTCATTTCACCATACCCCCTCACGATTGCGCTCTCCCGTGATGCTATCCAGCTACCATCGTGCAGCCCCGGCTACGCACGATGAGGTGGCCGCACCCCTCACTTTCACTCTGTCGCTGAGATAGCCGTACAGAGTCCCGATACTGTCCCTCCACCTTCGGAGATGGACAACACGGCAGTCTTCTGCACCTCCCGCGGCACCACTTCAACACGCTCCGCGGCACCAATGCAGCAGCACCACCAACTTCTCCCGGTCTTGATCTTCAGCTCCGCCGTCCTGTCAAAGAAGCTCCGTCTACAGTGTGCAGACCTGGAAGCCCCTATTACGCTATTGCAACGTCGGAAGCACCTATCTCTGCGACTCGGGGTCCTGCCACGACCCCAGACTTGCCCTCCAGGCCCTACGTACCACACCACGCACTCCTAAACAGTGCGTTCCAGCACGTTGGGAATCAGCCACCCCCGAGTCGTCAGAGAGGCATTATTGCTCGGGCATGCCTTCTACTAAGCGGTAGGGTTCGTCCCTCCACAAAAATGGTCACCCCCAGAGCCCCAGACATTCTTGGGCGAGCTCAGCCCCCCGTCACGAATTGGACCCAACATCTTAACGAAGCAATTTCTCTGCGCACCACGGTCATTCGATGGAAACAGCACCATGGCCAGGCCCAAAAATAACGACTTGCAATACGATTCACCGCTCACCGAAAACCAAAAGGAAAACACGCCAAGCACGAGCAAGACTCGGTCAAAGGCCCTGTCGAGTCAGCCCACAATGCCGAGCCATGAGCCGTTGGGTCGCCACTCCTTTGCGCCAGCTCCCTTCTAAGTTTTTTCCAAAATCGCACACTGTATACCGATTCCCTACCCTACACAGCAGAGTCTCCCCCCATGCTGGCCGTCACCATCTGATTGTTGCGCATCAACTGTCAAATCCCAAGAACCACCAGCATCAGCTCCGCGTGCAGACCTCCATGCTGCATAACTGACGAAAGGTGTCCCGCGGAATGCAACGCTGGTCACCCGCTCCACTCCTAGGTGGGATTGGGCAAAATTCGCCGGATTCCGTAAACACGCGCCCCGGCTGCCGTTGCCGAACCGAGGAATTCCGGCCGTCTCCCCATCTCTAGACTCGGGCAACGACGGTCGGCTCTCAACAAGACCGCTCACGTGAGCGTATCAGAGTTCTGATCTTCTGATGCTCTTAGACTTTGCATTTGGGTTCGCAATGCTGTCTGCTGCATAAGATACCGTGACAAAACTTCCTCTGGGCTTGCCTTTCACGCTTCGACCGCCCATCTCCGAGGTGGTTGCACAAGACAAAACGTCACAAGCAAAGAAGATCGGCCGCGTTGAACCAGACGACCAAACGAAATGAGGGATGCTTCATTTCGTGTTGCCCAATGGACCAACCATTTCCGCACCTTGCTTTTCCTGACGGAATGCCACACGCACTGAACCATCCGATCCCTGTCCGTAACCTTTTCATCCAATCATGACGTCCAGCCAATTCAGCTGGGGCTGTTTGGCTTTTCCACCGGACCAAAGCAAGACACACCCCAATCTTATCGCACATTATCAATCTCATCAAATCAATCGCATCTAATCTGATTGTCTTCAATCTCCGAGACCGGCTGCTGTCAAACCCCGGTCGACACCACGCTAGTAAATCCTCCCAACGCAAACGAGCAAGCACACTTGAAATCTCAAATCAAAGACCTACGCGATGTCGCGAAGCAGGGCCCGCTCGCGTCTCCCTGCGCGTCTAGTGATGTCTCATCTTCATTTCGAGCTTGTCGCGAGCGTTCTCCTGAGGCTCCGGCCTGAGCTCCCGTTGCTAGTGTAACCCTCGACTTACTCCACTAACGCCAATACCCAGCGACATGGCATGGGTTCGATCTGATAACTTTATTCGCTTCTCCTACTAATTACAGCGGCCGACTGATCAACGCCTTCGCAGTTTCGGTCTTTCAATCGCTCGCCTCTTCGGTGACCGACCTCCCTCCTCCCCTTGGCTGTTTCAACCGTTCCCAACCAATTCTCACCCTTTGGGATTTGTTTGCGCGGATCAGCCGGATTACTTCCCCGTCGACATGCCCTGTCATGTTTGGGTTGGAGTTTACATCCATCCGGATGTCGAACCTGGCTCCCGGAACTAAACTGAAATCCTGTTTTTTCCGTTTCTCTCTCTGATTTGCTAGCCTGTCGACCAGCAGTCTGCTCAACAATAAGACATGCTTCGTCAGTGTTGCTCTGCGACCAGCAGTAAATGCAACATGGGCAACAAGAGCAGCAATACCGCTGCATTTTTGTTCCGAAAATACGTACGAAGTGGTCGCTCCCAGTTGGCGAACTCAGACCCCAACAACCTGCTACCCTACTTGGTATTCTGATCCTGGCATCGTGGGGCGCTCTGGAAAGATTCTTTCAAACCAGCCTCCTTGTCCGCCCCAGCATGCTCGTGTTCGCACGTGAGCTCTTCGCCCGCTCGGCACCCACATCAGCATGGTTCGTCGATCTCTCTTCACAGTGCGACCAAGCGTACATCTCCACACTGACGGGCACTGCGCCAGTCCCTATGCGTTCCTGCGTCTCCGGGGGACTTGTACCCCTGGATGCCGGTCCATCGAAACTCTCACCTAGCTCAAGCCCGGCCCCGGGCCTTATTACGACTGCTGCGTGGTCATCTCGGCTGGACTGCCGGCTACCGTCTGACCAGGCATGTGCCTCTACTCCGTACATGGTAGGCTAGGGAGCCACGAAACGTACCGGCAATTTGGTTGAGGCAGGCTCGTCGTCGAGCACCCTGGCCTCCTTCTTATTACGCCTGTCTTCCCCCGAGGCTTCCAGAAGGTATGGAAGCGAGATGATGGTGAATATGGCGATCTGGGCCTTTGACCTCGATCAGAGGTTGGGCTACGAGTCTCAATGACCGAGCCCGGGCCGACGATCGAAGAAACGGTCTCGGGGAGCTCGTGACTCAGGGGCTGTGGTCTGCTCCAGGTGTCCATCTCTGAAGTACGAAGTTGTAGTCGAGAGTGATGATTCTTCAGCCACCATCTCAGGGGTTCGAGAGCCACCAACTCTCCTGATTATGTACCGCAGCTGTCAGCCACTGACAGCTCTCGTTAGGCGTTTCTGAGTAGCGAGGAGAGCACCGTAAGACGGATTGCTTCGACGGGTCATTGGTGGTTCACTTTATTGAGGCTAGCTGTCACGCACCCCAAGGGCCGTTTTTATCGCTTACTGCAGCGCTTATCCATCAACTGGAATCAGTGCCGCACGAAGACATTGAGCCCGAGAGCGAGCAATTCACTTTCAGCAAGCTATCGCAACCCGCCACTCAGACAAGTGGTTGTCCGCCGAGAAGCATTTCTACACACGTTCACGACTCAGTGGGCTTGAGGCAAGATATAGCTTGTGTTCTGAATTTATGCCCATGAGTCTCAGCACAAACTGGGACTGACATCCTTCAGAGTTCAGACTTTAGGGGTAACAACTCGGGCCCGTCTTTGCGCCGAGGTCATTCTCTCCACGTGTACATGACAAGAGTTAGGTCCGATAAACCGAAGCATCTCGGCTACATGAGAGGGCAGCATCGCGAAAGCCGAGTAATGGTCTGTGACCCCCGACGTAACGTTCACTGATGGTAGGCTTGTGCCCGACGGTACATGATGTACTAAATATTCGCTATATCTGATCCCTTTAGTAGCCTACCTGCCCCCGAAGGCTACGGACCTGATGAGCTCTTCTAAGCCCTGAGCTTAGCGAGGCTGGAGGTGCCCTTTGACGATTGCTCAAACGCCAATCCGGAGCAGAATACAGCACGTTTACTGCTGAAACCTGAATCACGCATGACGCGAGGTTCGAATTGAACTTCCTCAAATGTATCACTGATGCCAAACCCGTACAATTGGATGCCAACTCAACTCAAATGGCTGCGCTGCCCTTGAAAGTCAATCTTTGCGACTCTTAGGGGTGATTGGTAACAACTGTGCTCATTCGACAGGGGCACCTCTTTCCAGTTCTCTAGGGATGAGCAAAGGGTAGTAACTGCCCTACCGACACACTACTCCCATTATCTATTTGAAGGTGCAGGCTCAACCTCCAGGCGGACACAAATGGATATATGGGCGAGAGAACGACATCTCGCCGCTGGGCACTAGGAATGAAAATTACACGTTTTCTTTTCTCGGTGTCTCAAGGCAAAAACGGTATAGAAATACGCAGGCTTTGGATCCCCCCCCCCCTTTCCAATAGAGAAGAGAAGATTGCCTCGCCTTTACGTAGTAACTCGATCGGGAGAGGGATTTGGGAATCTATAAACATAACTCTATAGCTATCTTAGACGTTTAATAGTATTTAACTTGTTAGTTTTTTTTTTTTAAAGATGGAGCCCTTTTATTCTCGCCTCCCACTACCAGCTTCCCTGATTTAAGTAAACCCCCCCCTCCCCTTCCCCCTTTTCCGTTCCCTGTAGCGAGGACTCCTAACAACCAGCGGCGACACGCTATTGAGATGAAGCTCTGATTAGCCACTGCCTTCACTATCCGTCTCTGAAGTATAGATTTATTTCTAGATTCTTATTAGGGTGTCTCGTTCTTTTCAATCGCAAATGAAACGACAGATCTATTATACCGGATGGAGTGGGCATTGGTTAGAAAGCTACCGTTATTCTTGGCGTATTTCAGGGGTTCTATAACCCTAAAGTTTCTACCCCTTTTAGGAAGCTTTGTTAGATATAGAGACGATATGGTGGGGGTAAAACGAAAAGGCCTTTTTAGACTTGGATAACTTAGGTTACTCATCAAACTGCTTCTATGAGTCTTTTGCCTTCTCCACTCTTTGATATCTTGCTACTTGCCTTATGCCCCCTCGAACATAGAATAACTAGGCTTGGTTATAGATATCTCTTTGTAATCTTTATGCTTTCATTCCTCGTGCTCATGCTGTTCTTTCTGTCCTAAGGCCAGACCCCTCTACCCTAAATCCTTAAGAACAAAATACCCTATTAGTTGCTAAGACATATGATTAAAGACCTTGTACCTACGTTAATAATAGCAGCGCAAAACGGTTCCTAATAAGAAA